TAAATTGGCTTCCAGTCCGTTCCAGTGAATAGAGGTTTGTGTGTTTTAATTATTTGGTTTAAAACTCTCTTTACTTCCCTAGTTATGCAATTCACCAAAACACTGGCCCCAGCACAGTTCAGGTGTAGGCAGCCCTCAGTATTGGCGTCAGTGGCCCATGAATCAGAACCCACTTCTCATACAACATTCATTGAGCCACATATTCTTCTCTTTAATTTTATGTTCCCTAAGCCAATTTACACATGGCTCAGATAGTAATACAGATATTATAACCTTTGAGGCTCTGCTTTTTAAATTGGTGCTTTGCATAACCACTTTCCTAGTTCTACCAATGTCATTGGTACCTACATGGACCATGACCACTGGATCCTGTCTCTTACCCTACAAATTCCTTTCTAGCTTTAAGCAGATATCACAAAACCTAACACCAGGTAGGTAACACAGCTATCTGGATTCATGCTCTTTACTGCAGGGAATCAACATAATTCCCCTCACTGTATTGTTCCCTACCACATTCCCTCTACTTAGATAACTTCCTGCACCACAATGCTGTGATCAGTATGGTCATCCACCCCGTAGCACCTGCTGTCATCCAAACAGGCTGGGAGAAGCTCAAGCCTGTTGGCCAACTGCAGATGCTGACACACCTACATTCTGAGTTCTCTCATCTGCCTCACTCGCAGTCAGACTTTCCTGTCCTTGACTAGTGACCAAATCGGAAGACCCTATCCTAAATGATGTGACAGCCTTCTGATTTAAGGAAGCCAGGTATCTTTCCTTCCCTCTGATGCATCAATGGCTGTAGCTCAGCCGCCAGCTTGCAAACTCTAGAGGTGAAGCAACTTAAACTTCAAAACACTTACAGCAGATGTGTTTCCTCTGGATTACAGTGATATCTAGGAGCTCCTATACGCTCAGCCTTGACACATTACCTATTGTGCCATCATTATGAAGTATAATTCATTACTCCTTTACTCATATTACTCATTTATTTATGTTGCTTTATACACATTTATTAACTTTACCACCAATTTATATACCATGTTAAACCTTAAGAATAGAAAAGAACTTAACAACTTACGAGAGACTCACCAAAGAGTGTAGAACAAAAACCAATTCCAGTCAGCTCCAGTGAATCCAGATTTGTACCTTGTAAGTGGTGGGCAGGCTTTGTGGAAATGGGAGATGTGTTACTCACCACAGAATTCCCAGCTTCTGACCTCCGCTTGTCGCCACAGTATTTATATGGATGGCCCAGTTCAGTTTCTGGTCAATGGCAACCTCCAGGATGTTGATAATGGGGGAGTTTTAAAAAAAATATAGAAAATCGGTGCAACAGTAGGCCCTTCACGCCCGCACCACCATTCAATATGATCATGGCTGATCATGCAATTTCAGTATCCCAATCCCACTTTCTCTCCATACCCCTTGATTCCTTAGCCACACGGGCCATGTCCAGCTCCCTCTTGAATACATCTAATGAACTGGCCCCAACAGATCTCAGTGGTAGAGTATTCCACAAGTTCACAACTCCCTGAGTGAAGAGATCTTCCTCATTTCATTCCTGAATGGTTTACTCCTTATTCTTAGACTGAGACCCCTAGTTCTGGACTTCTCCAACATCAGGAACGTTCTTCCCGCATCTAGCCCGTCCAATCCCATCAGGATTTTATAAGTTTCTGTGAAATACCCCCTCATTCTTCAAACTTCCAGTGAGTACTAGCCCAGTCGATTCAGTCTTTCTTCGTATGTCAGTCCTGCCACCCCGGGAATCAGTCTGGTGAACCTTTGCTAGACTCCCTCCATAGCAAGAATGTCCTTCCTCAGACTAAGAAACCAAAACTGCACACAATACTCACGGTGTGGCCTCGCCATGGCCCTGTATAACTGCAGCAAGATATCCCCACTCCTATACTTAAATCGTCTCGCTACGAAGGCCAGCATGCCATTAGCTTTCCCTACTGCCTGTTGCACTTGTATGCCAACCTTCAGTGACTGTTCCACAATGACATCCAGGTCTCATTGCACCTCATCTTTTCCTAAACCACCACCAATCAAATAATAATCTGCCTTCCTGTTTTTGTCCTCACATTTATCCACGTTATATTGTATTTGCCAAGTATTTGCCCACTCAGCCAGCCTTCCAAGTCACCCTGGAGCCTCTCAACATCCTCCTCACAGTACACACTGCCATCCAACTTTGTGACATCTGTACATTTGGAGATATTATGTTCAATTCCTTCGTCCAAATCATTAATGATT